CAAGCAACAAATTGGAAATTTGTCTGTATGTAAAACATTGGAAATTTGTCTGTATGTAAAACATTATTTCTTTGTGGTTGAGAGGAAGGGGAGGACATCTGTAAATATATGTATATGTAGATATATTTTTTTATTTTTGATTTTTTTGGTTGGTCGTGGGGCTTGAACTCTGGGCCTGAGTGCTGTCCCTCAGCTCTTCAGCTCAAGGCGAGTGGCTCTTGAGCCACAGTGTCACTTCTGGTTTTTCTGGAGGTTAATTGGAGATAAGAGTTTCATGTATTTTCCTGCCTGGGCTGGCCTTGAACAGCAATCCTCAGATCTCAGTCTCCTAACTAGCTAGGGTTATAGGCGTGAGCCACCAGCACCCCCGCTATATATATAATTTTAAATAATGCTAAACAATTTATGAAAAGCAGATCAAAATATAATAATATTACATGTTATGTATTTATATATACTTATATTTATATATTAGGTGATACATATAAATATATAACATGTAATTAACAATATTAAAGTATATTTGTTTAACTAGGGATAAAAGTTCTTATTGACTGACATATATTTGAAGTTCTTTTACAAAAACAGTTTTACTTTCTTACATGGTATTGAAATATTTAAATATCAATTTGTGTTGATGTTTCTTCAGCTAAAATTATTTGATTTTGATATACTAGATAGTCCAGTGAAGACTGTGATTTAATGAATAACATTAATTACATCTTAAAATCTTTATAAATGAAGAAACATTTACAAGTCAAGTTTCTTCAGGTTATTTCAGTATAGAGTCATTGTTTGAGTGAATAATGTAGTTTCATAATTGAAAGTAATGTTCTTTGAAAATAAGAAATTTTCTAGGGAATTGTTTTTAAATTTGTTTTTTTTTTTTCATGTAAGAAATTTGTGTCACAGCTTTTACAGGTTAGAATGTCAGAAAAATAGGAGTGATTAAAGATACTTATTTGGGGCATGACATTGATCAGGATGCATTGTACATGTATATTGGTTTGTTGAATTGAAATCCCTTTATGCAACTTAAAGATAACCAAAAAAATGAAAATAAATGATACTTGTTAAGGTTAGAGCAAAGCCATAACTATCTGAACTTATTGTAATATAAAACTAAGGATCTAAGAAGCAACTTTCAGCTTTTCTAGTATACTTGATGTTTGACCCTGGTGTAACCACATAATTCCTTCAAACAATCATTCTAAATATGTAACTTCAACCCACAAAAGGGTATGAGGTGTAGAAAGAGGTAGGGAGAAAGGGAGAAAGATTGTATGTGAATAAATGTAATGAGAGTGACAAGAATGTAGTTTATAAAAATGCTAAAACAATAAAAAGATAGGAGTACAACTCACCAGGGCAACCTTCCTTTAGCATGGCTAGTATTGTGCTTTAATTTTATTACTACATTGTCTGCAAAGTACCCAATTATTTCAGTTTTATTTATCCTGAGTATGCTAATAGTCTAAAGATGACAAATGTTGGGTATTAGTAATTCTTTTGTTTATTTTTTAATTTTTTATTTTTTAATTTTATTTTATTATTTTTTGTGTGAACATACTGTACAGAGGGGTTACAATTACATGGACAAGATAATGTGTACATTTCTTACCAAGCATTGCAGCCTCCTCCTTTGTTTACCCTTCACATCCCTTCCCAGCCTCCCCTCCACCCCCCCACCCAATCCTCCTTTCCCCCCTTCCCCCCCCCCCCCCTGCACCAACGTTGTAAAGCTCCTTTTCGACATGACAACTTGTACTTCTCATTGTTGCAACGGGTCCACCTGTATCCTTAAACAACTTGTTTTTCCCCATCTCCTCCACAAGTTATACTGACATCAAATATAGTGAAAGCAGGGGTTATACTGTTGGGGAGGGACATACAAAGCAACAAAGAGATAATCTTATAAATGCGTTAGAAACAAATGCATGAAAGAAAAAAAAATTAAAATACATATCTAAGGGTCCATTTTCCTAACATCACATTATCTGACCTTTTCCGCTTGACTCATACATATACTAGATATTGCAAATAAGGGAAACCATGGGACCTATGTTTCTTTGGGCCTGGCTTACTTCACTTAATATAATTTTTTCCAAGTTTTTCCATTTCCTAACAAATGGGGCAATGTCATTCTTTCTGATGGAGGCATAGAAGGGTATTAGTAATTCTGAATGAGTGTTTACTTTTCTGTGATTGAAAAAGAAAACTATTCATTTCAGGTTGTTAAAATGATATATACTTATATATTCATACAATAATTCATAACCTGGTTTATAAAATTAAATGAAAAGATTCTAAAATAATATTCATGTTTGTTTACCTTCTTGCTTTGAGGCTTTATATATCTCCTTTTAAATATAATTTGAGAAAAAATTGTAGTGCAATATTTTATATGGCTTGCTCTAGTTTTAATGTTTTAAAGGAAATTTGAGTGGCATAATCAAATGCATGGCTCTTGTGCTGAAAATTCTCTGATTACAAAGTGAGCAATTGATAAATACAGTGAACTCTTTTAATACATTCAGTCAAGCTGTCTTGTAAAGCGGCGGTATCAGCTCTGCATTCCTAGGGCAGATCCCTTGTATTTTCATTTCTGGGTTTAGACATTCAAATAAAGAGTGAGACTAAAATAATGATTACATTAGTAAGTCCTTATAAATAACAGATGTAGTGACCATATCCTCGATCCTCACCCTTTGCAACCTGCTGCTATTATGTTTAGGCCTTGTTAATATGAAATATATACATATATATAAAATGCATGCACACATGCATGCTGAGTAAACTTAAAAATCAATTCAATCACCCAGGTTGTACTTTTATTTTTTTCTTTTCATAATTTATTATTTGTAAATTAAAGCATTTTGAGAATAATACTCTAAAAATTTACCTAAGTAATGGCTTATCTAAATTAGAATTTTCTACCATATAAACTGGGAATTTAAAACCTATACTGCTTTGATTACAGAAATACTTCAGACCTCATTTTTTTAACCCAGTACAAGATCATAAATTCATGTTGTATCAGTTTTTAATAGTAATAGTTAAGGTATCAAATAAAATTAAGAAAAAATTAGCAGCCTTGAAAAGTAATAACAGTTCATTAAAAATAATTCGATGTCAGTAGTTGCTTGATGTGAATTAAAGAGTCAAGGAAATTGAAGAGATAGAAGAGATTGTGTATTAATGAACTGTAACTAGATCATAAATAAACATCATTATTTATGAGTGTTACTATAAAGGCCATGAATGTTTAACAAAAATACAATGTCCCTCTTTTCCTGTGATGTTCTGTATGTATAATATAAATATTCATGAATGGTGAGTATCAGTTCAGGTTATCTATTTGAATATAAATTTTCATATATCTCACCACTTGGAGTTCATTGGATCATGCTTTTGAATATGAATTCTCCAGTATCTCAGATGCACTATGGATCTAGCCCAGCTCATGAATATTCAGATACACACGCGCACACACACAACTGATCTTTCTGAAAGTAATCACATCCATAAAGATGAAAATCTTGTTAGTCTTCAATAATGAGAACTGCATCAGGCTGCTTGTCCCTGAACAATTTTAACAATCCTTTTGTTTTCATTTTTTGTAAATGATACCAACTAAGGGAAAAAAATAAAAAGATGCTTTGTATCTTTCTAGACTGAAACTCTTTTCTGTTTACCTTTATAAAAGCTTGTGTGTGATTTAATCATGGTTGATATGATTGGTTTGTTCCCTATGGTCAGAGAAAAGAGGGAAATAAGACTGTCTCTACAATCAATATCCAAAGCACATTTCTGCTGATTAGGCTTGAGCAGAGTCTCAAAAGCAGAGTTTAGTAATAATCTTTTCAGCTATTGGAAGCTTGATGATTACTTTACATGCAAAAAATGCCCTGAAATTATCTCTATATATTGAATATAGAGAGTACTATATTCCATAACAGATTGATTTATAATTCATTAGAGTTAGGATGCTAAATGGAGGCTCATAATTATAAAGTATATATAATCTTTTCTCATATCAGAAATATATCACAATTTTTTAACTTCACTGGAATAAATTATCTATATCTAGAATACTTATCCAAATCTGTTAGTAGTTACAAATAGATATCAAAATCAATCACCTTGTTCCAATTAGAACTATATTTTAAATATTAATTAAGTAACCAAGGGAGCACAAACAGATATCAAGACTCTTATTCATTGATGAGGTATTTAAAGTATTAACTAGTTCTTATTTTTCTAACAGTGTTATCTTCAACCTTTTTTTTTTGGGTGGGGGGGGTGTCCGGTCGTGGGGCCTGAACTCTGGGCTTGGGTGCTGTCCTTCAGCTCTTCAGCTCAAGGCTAGCCCTCTACCACTTGAGCCACAGTGCCACTTCTGGCTGTTTTCTTTTTGCTTATGTGGTGCTGAGGAATCGAACCCAGGGCCTCATGCATGCAAGGCAAGCGCTCTACCACTGAGCCACCTTCCCAGCCCCATCTTCAACCTTTTGAATGAGGTTGTTCTTATTCAGACTAAACATACACACATACACATACACATACACATAAATATATATGCCATTTGTAACCTGTGCTCAATTACAAATGTTTCGAATTCTCAAGAGTTGAAGAGTGGTTTTTTAGACTCCACCCTAGCATATCTGTGGGTTTCTTCAGCAAGACCAAAGAAGTCAGTGGGAGATTATTACCCCACCTTCCTTCAGTTTTGTGTCTCTGGATAGCTCTTGGTAGTTTGAAGCTGAGACATGATATAATTTTGCCTGGCACCAATGGGGAAAGGTACTATGCTATATAATTCTTGATGATTAGAGATACATTCAATTAGCATCAGACAGCTAATTTTGTCTGCTGAAAAATTAATTGAGCCACTACCATGAAGAGCAATGAAAATGTGTATTACTTTATAAGTAAGTTTAGACTTATTTTTTAAAATATGAGTATGAGTGAATTGACTTTTTTTCCCCCTTTCTTGTTAGCAACAATTGTGTTAAATGAGCTCAATTGGACCAGTGCCTTAGATGACGTTTTCAAAAAAAATCGCGATGAGGACCCCACATTGCTCTGGCAGGTGTTTGGCAGTGCCACCGGCCTGGCTCGGTACTATCCAGGTGAGTGCTTACTGACTCAGTAGTCATCAACAGGAATTGGAAGTACAAGCTTTATGTTCTTCTTTTCTTCCTTTTTTTTTAACCAACTTTGCAATTTGGATATTGGGCCACACTATTTTTATAATGAGAATATATCCCTCATCCCGTAACGCTAACTTGGTCAAAGTCACATTAAACTGAAATACCTTAGTAGTAAATGGCTGCTCCTTGGATAAAGCCATGTTATGGTGAACCATGAGCAAGGTTTTGATGCGGGTACCCGCGCAGTGCTACGATGCGGTCTGCCTAAAGGACATGGACCAAACCCTCAAGTGTACTAGATGGTAAGACTTTACAACTGACCCGAAAGAGTTTTCTTCAGAATCCAGGTGTATGCGAAAAATTTATAATGGAAGAATATATTTCATGAGCAAACTTGGATTTGTTAAGATAAGTATGTCAAGAAGTAAGATGAAATAAAAGCAACCCTTTTCTCACACATAATAAACCTGACATGATATCCCTTGAAATTACATAAAGTCTGATAAACATTTTCATGTACAATTTTAAAGTGAAAGGAAAATATAGCTTTCTGTGTTTGTGTCAGGTTGAATTCTGAGGGCATCTCAGTGATCACACATATTCAATGAACATGACTATGCTTTTTAAACTAAAATTAAAAAAAAACTCAGTGTTCTTTATTATTATAAAAGGTTTTTAGATGAAATCAGGAATAACTTCTAAAAGAAAAATGAAACATGAAAAAGTAGTACACCCTCATAACCTACTGGAAAGACTTTCTGTGAAATGTCTGTTGGTATTATGAACTTCTCCACTGTTAGAACTAGCTGATCAACACTAATATATATTTTTCAAAGGTATGGTTTCTTTCTCTTCCTTCACTCACTTTCCCCTTTCTTTTGTAAAGCCTCTAATATCTTTATATTTTCCATGGAATATTTATTTTTTAGTTCATAGTCCTTGATTCACGTTTTAAAACTCTATATCTGACCATTTTCCAAATAATGCCTTGTGGTCAAGTTTCTCTTTCTCCTTCCAATAAGAAAGACACTGCCTTACCCTAGCATTTCATTGTCTACAATGTTAGTATTGTTGTATCTATATAATAAATCCCGAACCATTCTCTTATTCAGAGTCACATAATCTGTTATTCATAAACCTTTGGAAGCCAGATATGTAGAACTGTATCTGTAATCCCAGCATATGAAAGACTAAGGCAAGAGAACCTCAAGTTTGAGGTCATGGAGAGACTTATCCCAAAATGAAAACAAAACAGAACACAATAAAACAAAACAACAACAGAAAATAAATAAAATGGAAGACCTCTTTTGAGTGGGCCTTACTTATTTCTTTTGCTCTTGGAAGTCATTATTACTGATTACTGGTCCCTAGCCTCCTGCAGTACTGTTCATGCCTTGTCTTTTGCTCTGTAACTTCCTTTTTCCACAGGAAGGTTTTGCCTTTTTTTTCCTTCAGTCACTTCATTCTTCTGTTTTTGTTGTTGTTAGTGGTGGTCATGGGGCTTGAACTCTGGGCCTGGGCGCTGTCCCTCAGTTCTTCACCTCAAGACTAGCGTTCTACCACTTGAGCCACAGTGCCACTTCCAGTTTTCTGGTAGTTAGTTGGAGATAAGAGTCTCACAGAGGAAGTGGCGTTGTAGCTCAAGTGGTAGAGCGCTCCCCTTGAGCTGAAGAGCTGAGGGACAGCGCCCAGGCCCAGAGTTCAAACCCCACGACCGACAAAAAAAAAGACTCTTGTTAAGAGTCTCACAGACTTTCCTGATCCTCAGATCTCAGCCTCCTGAGATTACAGGTGTAAGCCTGGCTTCAGTCACTTCATTCTTAATCCATAGTTTATAAACTTCTTCCATGACTATAGTCCATGACTATTTCTTTTTCACAATTTTCATCAGAAATCTATCACTTCAGTGTCTAATGTATGTGGACTTAAGCAGTTACTCATCCGTATTGTAACTGAGATCCAGCAATATATAACTTCTGATACTTGGATTAAAATTTTCATGAAGGCAGAAAAAAAATTATAAAATACAAGTTTGTCATAGGATAGCCGAAGCAGAGAGATGGTTATTGTCCCCAGCACCTCTCCTTTGTAGCTAGTACAGTATATGTTTTCAGCCAGGTTTCAGACCATATTAAAAAAAAAAATCTGTTACCACACGGTATGTAAATTCTCCCCCATGTCAGGTAAGAAATGTCCTGTGTGGCTTTGGGGAAGTTCTCCTAGAATAGAGGAGGGCACATGTCTTTGTCTTTTGAGAAAGACCACAAATAATGGTGTCTGGGATGTGAGGCAGAGGCCTAATTAAGAACATTTCAGAGAAATGAGATGAAACAAAAAGCCCTTCTAGACTCTCCTCCCTGATGCTATGTATAACAGATTCACATCTATGAAAACAAACTACCTTAACCCTAAAATCACCAGTTTTTATTTTTTCCAGTAGGTAGCTAAAAACAGTTCTAAAAGACACACTGGTCTTTAATTATTTGTGGTATTTAATTATTTGTGTTATCCAGTTAGACTTATACTTCTACGGGGAAGCTTTCCAAGAGCAATCTTATTCTCTTATTCTTTGATTTTGTGTGTGTTACAACAGATGGCCAATTTTGTCTTCTTTCAGAAGTTGTTTAGAGTATACCTTATTTTTTCTCAAATCATCACAATTCATGTAAGCGTGAGATGTGATTTATTGTATCTTGAAGGTTACAAGGTAACTAGATATAGAACCCTGTATGTACAACATGACGGACATTAATTAAATTAAGCCGAACATCCAAGTAAAATTGTAGGCAGGAAACGTATAATTCTGTGTTATGGTGAAAATTCAGATAATTCATTTTCTCCAGCATGTCAAGTGCCTTTACATATTTTCCCCCCTGTGAAACACACTCAAGTATTCACCTAAAATAGTCCAAAGTCCCCACAACAATATGAACAACTCAGTATCCAAGCTCTGTTGATTATATGTAACAGTCTCATCACCTACTATGAATTTTTTTACTTTGACTACCTCAGTGTGACAGAATACTGAATATTTTCTCTACCATATTCATCCCAGTTGCTGCCCAAATATGCCTGAATCTGTTGAATAGCTTCAATTCAAAGAGTTGGAAAGAGTAAGGAATGCCAAATACAAATCCCTCTGTTCTGTCAGGGAAGAAATATAAAAATGTCTTTATTTACATAAAGCAGGTTCTTCACCCCATCTGACTGTTCCTTGTATGTTCTGTGGGGATCACTCTGTGACAGCCCCTGAATCACTTCAGGACACAAGTGCTGGGGTATGCTTGAGGCTAAGCAGCTTTCTTAGATTATTGGTTTCTAGTTCAGGTCTAAAAGCTTAAAGTTGATTTAGGGTTCAAACAGTTATATTGCTTCTACAGATTTAGCTAAGGATTCATTACTAATACACACAGTATAAACATCAAGGCCAGGTTAACTCCTACTATTATTTTCTTGCAGTGAATTTCTTCTGTCAGCAATCTCAGTTCTAAATTTTATTTAAGTAATTGTTAAGTCTGACATCTTCTGTGTATTAACTAGGCTTAGAATTTAGCCCATTCACATTTCTCATGTCAGAGGTGGCTTCTTTGAAGATGCTGCTGAGAAAAGAAAACTAATAAAAATTAACCAATGGTGGACATTACTAGATATTTGATTTCATCTCCTCTTGAATTTTACCCAGTTTTATTACTCTGTGTGTGTGTGTGTATATGTGTGTGTGTGTGTGTGTGTGTGTGTGTGTGTTGGCTGGTCCTAGAGCCTGAACTTAGGGCCTGGACATTGTCTTTGAGCTTTTTTGATTAAGGCTGGCACTCGACCACTTGAACCAAAGCTCCACTTCCAGTTTTTTTTTTAAACTGGTTAACTGGAGATAAAAATCTCATGAACTTTCCTGCCCAGGCTGTCTTTGAACTATTCCCCTTAGATCTCAGCCATGCATGAGTAGCTAGTGTTGAAGGTTTGAGCCACTGGCACCTTGCCAATTTGTTACTTTGATATAACACATAAGAAGAAAACTTAAAGAAAGGTTTGTTTAGCCTCGTGGTCACTTGATTCCTTTGCTAAAGTGCCCAAGTATGGAGAGGCAGAACGTTGCGGTGAGAAGCATGGAGTGGATCCAAGAATCTGACTTCACGGTGAAGAGGTGGCCTTATGACATGGAGACCTGGGACAAGAATATAGTTCACTAACTCTGAAGATTTTTACCACCTCTTAATAATGCTATTTAACAATCAGTTCATTAGTGGATCAATCTATTGATTAGCTCATATCCCTCAGGACTCAGTCACATCTCAACGATGCACACATCTAGGCCTTTTGAGTGGACACTGTAGATCCAAACTATAACACAGAGTGGAGGTTGTCAGCTACTGTCAAAGTTCAGTCCTCCCATTTCATGGTGAACATTCTTTCGAAAATGACTGCTTGGCAATCTATTTATTGGCCAGGCCCCTTTGTGTCTGTGTAGAACCATAGGAAATAGTTTCCAAATAGAAGATGAGTGAATTAGTATGTGTTGCTTCAAGGTCGAGTCTGGGAGGATTTGGGCATGCCTTCCTATGGAATCTTTCATTACCAACTGCTTGTATGAAAGCTGAAGAAGGTGAAAGCTATCCTCAGCTTTACATATCTGGTAATTGCTTGGCGAAGCAGTCACATGAGTGAGATTTAACTTTACTGCTAAAACATGAATATCTGCAATTGAACTTTAAGGCATTTTGTGGCACCCCAGTGGCTACAGAAAAAGCTTTCTTTATCTTGTCCAAGATACATTCTGAAGACGTCAGTTATTTGTTTTCCTTGAATGTGAGTACATAATTCACAGTCATTTAAGCAACCTAATTCACCCTGGACCTTGGTGTGGAAGCTGTTAGGGACTGTGGAGACTCTGTCCTGGAATGGTAGTTATGAGTAGCAGCACTTTCCATTACTGGAAATTTGGTGAGCTATCCAGTGTATTTATCAATGAATTGATTTTTTCTTGAAAGCAAAATCTATTGAGTTTGTTGGCCCTGTCATTCAGAGATGCCTGATAAACGCCTAGAATTATAATACATCAATTAGATCCAGGCAAGTGGACCAGGAGAAATGTTTCAGGGCATTCTTATTAAATCTTCTCTGCTGCCACTGCCGCCGCCTCCTCCTCCTCCTCCTCCTCCTCCTCCTCCTCCTCCTCCTCCTCCTCCTCCTCCTCCTCCTCCTCCTCCTCCTCCTCCTCCTCCTCCTCCTCCTCCTCCTCCTCCTCCTCCTCCTCCTCCTCCTCCTCCTCCTCCTCCTCCTCCTCCTCCTCCTCCTCCTCCTCCTCCTCCTCCTCCTCCTCCTCCCCCCCCCCCCCCCATCCCTTTCCTCCTCCTCCTCCTCTTCTTAGAGTTAGAAAAGGGCACTTGAACTTATTAAACGGAAATGCAATTAGCTGTCATTTGAAGTGGGGTTTCTATCAAGAGAATCAGTCCTCAGTGCATTGCTATTTGCTTTATCATTTCCTAGCACCTAAAAAGAAAGAAATGTTCTTATTATCTTGAAACTACATTAATTATAAGATGGCTTTGAAATCAGCAATTTCTTAAAAATAGTGGTCTACCACACATTTCAGAATGAAGTCAGTCACAGGCAAACATCTGCATAACTCATTGGTTTGCTGGCCTTCTACATCATGTGAAATAGGTTAACGTTCCAGTAGACTTAGCCAAAGACACGTCCATGGTTCAGTGTTTTCCTCAAGACAAAATTATTCTCATCAATGATCATTTTGGGATGTTTTTGTCTCTCTCCTGTCATTCTAAAATCTTATGAGATACCTTAGAGGAAATATAAAATGAGCAATGTTCCCGTTTCTTTTTAGCTCTGATTTCCTTACAGGACATGTAGCTTCTTTGTTTTTGGTCGGTTGTGGGGCTTGAACTCTGGGCTTGGATGCTGTCCCTGCGCTCTTCAGCTCAAGGCTAGCGCTCTGCCGCTTGAGCCACAGCACCACTTCCAGTTTTCTAGTGGTTTATTGGAGATAAGAGTCTCATGGACTTTCCTGCCTGGGCTGGCTTTGAACCGAGTTCCTCAGATCTCAGCTTCCTGAGTAGCTAGGATTACAGGCGTGAGCCACAGGCACCCGGCTTGTAGCTTCTTTTTCATTGACTATGAAACCGATTTTTTTTCAGGGAAATTTTACGTATACATATATATGTATATTTATACATATGTATGTATATATATGCTCACTATTCCTCTTAGTATTTGATCTTCCATATTTTTGAGCTTATATAAATAATGTTCCACCAAATACCACAATAGGATTTTATGTCTTAATAATATCACAAGAAGAAATTATATTGTTTAATTTCACTATAATATAAATATCCTAATTTAGTCTAATCACAGCTATTACTTAAAAGCAAACATCTAATATCTGATTATTAATATTTTTAAATAGAAACCAGTTAAGATCATAAATGATATTAATTTTAATGGTCTAGCTCATAATGTAAATCATAGCTTTTTAATTTTTCTGTCTTTAAAGAATGTATAAATTTTACAGAAGGCAGTAATTTATATCAGTTAATTTCACTTAGTAGTGGAAACAAATCCTAAATGAATATGCTCTGTAAAGAAATTAGTGCTCTAACTTAAAAAAAAACTTTCATATTACAATTTCCTGAAATAATTTTAAAGTCAGAGCTGACCTCTTTCAATTCATGGCTATTGCTGTGGTATACACTGTGGCAGCTTGTACATTAATCAGTATCAGTTTTGATCCAATCAGCACCAGAGAAGCTGCATGCAGTTCTCACGAGAGCCTGTGAAATCGCAAACCAGAAGCTGGAGGCCCAGGGCCTTGATTCATTCGTCGTTTCACATTGTCTGCTGCTGATGCATCATATCATGTCAGCTGCTAAAAGAAAAGTATTGAAAAGACCCAGATCCATTTTTGTAGAGCAAACCAAAAGTTGCATTTGGAGTTTAGGAGCACTACAAATATAGACTCAGCAAACATGGCACAAAAAATTAGGATAGTCTCTCTAAACTTTTCATTATTACCAGGACACTAACCTGGGGAGTCAGCTATTGCAGAAAGAGATCTGAAAATGAAATAGTATGTCTACCAGCACTTCTGCTAGTTAATGCTAAGGCTACCAAAATGGTATTTTGTATCACTGACACAGTTTCTGCAAATGAAAATTTAATTAATTAAACAAATAGTAAGTTTAACAGATCATTTTCAGTGACTGTGTCAGTAAGTGGTTCTTGGGGAGTTCTATGTTGGAATTCACACATTTGTGTAAATATGATTAGTCTTTACAAATGAGTAAATGATTTTATAATGAAAAAAATTTGTAAGTGAAGAAGAGACTTAGTTGTATGTATTTTTGGCATATTCTAATGGGCAAAATTATTTTAGTTAGCTAATAAAACTGACAATATACTTCCCCATAAGTTCCATCATTGTTCAATAAAGAAAATGAAAATTAGATTATGGCACACACACATCAGTTGAGTGAGGATTTTTAAAAATTATTTATTGTTTTTTTAAATAAGTTTTTTATTGTGAAAATACTGTACAAAGGGGTTACAAGGTAATGAGTACATTTCTCATCAAGCATTTTTCCGCCTCCTTTGTTTTTCCCCTACCATCCCTTCCCTCCCATCTCCCCAACTACATTCTCCGCTACCCTCCGCCTTCCTGCCTAAATGTAAAGTTTGTTTTTTGACATAGCATCTTGTACATCTTATTGTTTTAATGGGTCAGCCTGTATCCCTATTTAAATAATTTGTTTTCCCCCTTCTGCTCCCCAAATTATACCAACAAATACAGTGAAACCAGGGGTTATCCTGTCGGGGAGGTACATACAAAGCAACGAAAAAAATCACCTGGTATCTTATAAATATGTTAGAAACAATAGCAAGCAAGAAAAAAAAAAAAAACCACTGTGTCCTTATCTTGGGGTTCATTTCGCTTAACACCATCTTATCTGACCTTTCCTGCTTGTCTCAGACATATACTAGTTATTGCAAATAAGGGAAACCATGGGACCTATGTTTCTTTGGCCCTGGCTTACTTCACTTAATATAATTTTTTCCAAGCCTTTCCATTCCCTAACAAATGGGGCAATGTCATTCTTTCTGATGGAGGCATAGAATTCCATTGTGTATATATGCCACATTTTCTTGATCCGTTCATCTACTGAGGGGCATCTGGGTTGGTTCCATATCTTAGCTATGGTAAATAATGCTGCAATAAATATATTTGTGCTGGTAGCTTTAGTATGGTCTTGATTGTAAAGGTTATGTACACAGAGGTTAGAGTTACATAAGTTCGATAGAGTACATTTCTTTTTGAACAATGTTACCCCTTCCCACTATCTCACAGTTTTTCCTTCCTGGTCCAACCCACAAGTTGTATAGTTCATTTTCAATATAATGTTAATGAGTAGAGTGAGGACATGTTTTTCAAGAGTCATATGTCTAAACATGTTCAAAGAGAGGACTTTTCCATTACCAAATTATCATCCAATTCATCAGCACTTATTTCCTCTATGAGGTCTGGTGTACATCAAAGTAGAGCTTTGAAGAGCATTTTAATTAAAGTAAGTTCAGATTTAATTAGACAATTGTAAATTAATTGCATTTGAAAATCTATACAATTAGATGAATTTTTTTCTGATGACTGAAAAATGGTTTAAAAAAGTGTGAAACTAACTCGAGATTATTGACTCTATTTGGATTACTTTAGGTCATTTAAGTAAATTTGAGAGCGTTATTTTACTTATAATTTAATCTTTTAATTATAATTATAACATTGATCGATCATTGTCTGGAACATGAACATGCCAGTTAAAAACTATACTATCTTAAGGTAATCTAAGAGAAACAGTTTTATATAGAGCAAGATAGGATTGCACTGAATGGAAATGTCATGATCAAATAATTGAAACCAGAATTTCCATTAAGGGCAAATAAAATTTTAACTAAGGTGGATTCTATGTTTAAATAGTGGAAAGAAAATGTATTAAGGTCTAGATACATGGGAATACATGGAAGTTGGTACCAGAAGACCTCTGAAATAATGTGAAGAAAGAGAATTGACTTGCACCGATATTCTTTTGTATATTCTGTGTTGTTTTCTGCTCTAAATAAGGAAAGTATCAAGGGCACGAAGATCATGCTTCCTATTTGAATATTTTTGTCAATAATCTTACTATTGTAACGAACTATAGAAATGATCCCTGAAAGTATAGTCTTAATAATAATCTGACTATTGTATCGATGGCATTTTGTGAGTTTTTAAAAAAACCTTTAAGTAGTTGTTCAAAGGATTTCTCACTCAATGACACAATTTATGAATACAATGTATCTTGATTAATGTCACTTTTTCCAACATTATTCTCTCCATCACTCTCAACCCTACCTTTTCCCTCAATTTTCTTATGTGTAAGATATGCATTGAATTTTATGATTGCATTTTCCCCTCAAATTTTACATTATATTTGTAGAACATATCTAATATTTTGGCTTAATTTCTTTTTTTCTACTTCCTTTTTTTTCAAGCATCTCCATGGGTTGATAATAGTAGAACTCCAAACAAGATTGACCTTTATGATGTTCGCAGAAGACCATGGTATGAATTTTTAAAAAGCCTTTAAACTGACATAGTGAAAAGAATATACATATATATATAAACACATGTTTGTATGTATATATTCATCATTATATATTAAAGATGAATATTGAAGACCAGAGTCTTCTATTATGAGGAGTAACAGTATCTCTTTGTCTAAAGTAGTGTGGTGTTTTTTAAAATAAATAATTAAAAGTTAATAAAAGTGATCAGTTCAATTGGAGAGTGAATATTGTGTTGAGATGATTAATTAAATTCATTTAAAATGGACTGATTTACGTTTTATTTTTAATTTTCCGCTTCAGATCTGTTTCAGGTAGTGAGGATTGTTACTGAAACCTTCTCCATTTGCTTGGAGTAGAAATTTTTTAACAGAGAGATGACATAGTGTAGGGATAGTTTGCCTCTGGCAGTGCACTAATGAGCATTGGCCTCAAGGTAAGCAATGCCACTAGCCACATTCACCTAGCATAGTTTTTATTCCTGAGAAAAGCTGTATTTGTTCCTCAATTCTAACTCATTCTCCTAATAAAAAACTGAAAAACTATCAATAATCTGATAACATTAGATTCACTGGAAAGTAACTAACAATTAAATATCTAGTTGTGTTTCATTTGAATTTTTAAAATATACATGATGAGATACATTTTTCTTAAATGAGTTCACATATATTAGTATGATGTTCCCTACTTTTACACATTAATGTCTTTGAATAATATTCATGAATAGGGGAATTTAAGATAATTCAGAAGACTATTTGGTAATTAAGTTATCCTCTATTATTGGCTATTTAGTTTATTTCTAACTTTTACTATGGTTCCCACAAATCCTAAAAGCAGCATAATTGTTGACTCAAAAAAATGTCTGAAGCTTTTATGGGCTAAAGCTGTTATATTCTGTTAAGTATTCAGTAGCAATTTATATAAACACCAACTCAGTTTAATACTAACAGACACAAAATTATTACTGACAGTATTACCCCAGTCTGTCTCTGTAGAGCCCCAAATTATTTAATAGAAGCATAGGTTGTTCTATCACATAGTTTGAGTTTAGGAATGGGTTGTATCAGGAGAAATCTTAGAAGCTAGGCTGCCAATCATGAAAAGCAGATACTATCATGTTCTTTCCTGTTCCCATTGACAAATACAATAGAGCCAGTAGTGTTAAGATGCTACCTGTGAAATGTTATTATTTATTATAGGAATATTTACTTTTACAGGCAAACCAAGCTGCCATGTGTTCTTTGTATAGGAGATAATCCTGATACAGATTCTAAACTCTTAACTGCTCTTTCAACACAGCCCTGGGTAGACAGCAACTTTGCAGCATGTTGTCTGAAAACAAATTGATCCATTATCTGGCAGGGTTCTGAGAAGGTAAATGTCGATAAAGTAATGGGCAAGGGCCTCAGTGATAATTTAAAGTTGAGTCCAGGTTCAGCTCTCCATTTGGAGGAAGAAAGCTTGCTGCTCCCTGCCCATCTCAGCTTTTTGAATGTTGGAGCCCCCTGAACAAATCTTTCCCAAAGTTTTTGGTTCCCTAGAGATATGGTTAAATTAGGGAATTGTCATTTGGAACTGATTCATTTGGTGATTTTCAGAAATTAAACATTTGAGATCCACCATTTACATACAACAAATACCAATGTTGGATGTGCCACAAGAGGAAAATAAAATCATGTTTTCTTTGTTTCAGGTATATCCAAGGGGCTGCATCTCCTAAAGACATGCTAATTTTGGTTGATGTGTGAGTATTAAGTATTACAGACTTATATTCTGAAAATGTGGGAGTGTTTGTAGCTCACAGTAATATACTAAGCTTAAGAAATTAAAAGTAAGGTAAAAAAATAAAAGAATCAATAGCCACACAGAGAAGCCATGTGGAGGCAACAACCAAAATAACAAACATTAATTTTTTAATTGAAAAATTAAAGTGGTATCTTCTATGTATTAAAAATGGATGATTATGGCATGGTCCTGAAAACTGAGGAGGATAATTTGTTATTTGTTCACAATGTTTTCAGTAAATGTTTTAGTGCTTAGATATTTAATTTTAATATTTTGAACAATAGTAAAATGCACACATGCAAACAGAAAAAATGGAATCGTTTTTTTCCATTCAGTCATTAGTGATCAACTTTTAAGGATTTAGCTACAAAATAGGAGAATATTAACTATAATAAGTACAATGATTTCTAAGACTTTTAAAAGGAACCTGATTAATATTCAAGAGAAATATGCAGGTGTTAATATAATATCCATTTTACTTGTTACATTGTTTCATAGCAAAATATCTCAGATTCTTCCTGTGGGATGTACAAGTGGGAATCAGTCTCCAGCAAACAAGAGAGGTTATCAAAAGATCATAGACTATGTAGAGTTGAAAAACTTACAAAGACTAAATCCTAGATAAAATCTGCTTTATGGTTTTGTTCACAAATCTACTAGTGCTGCTGTCACTAACTTAATAATGATGGTGGGTTTAAGGAAGTCAAACAGCCCCTTGACTGCGACTGTGCCTCTTTACCCCTGTGGACTGTAGTTCTAACTCAGCTTACAGAAATGGTATTTCATATAGATTTCCTGGATGAGTGATTGTACTCTCACTGAACAAATGGTTTTGGTTGTTTTTTTTCCCAATCATCATTTAATATGCAATTTGGGTAGTTTTTACAAAAAATACCTTCCTACTAACATTAGTAGGAAAAAAGGAAGACTTTATAATTTCTATTACATCTGTTTTCCTTCTGATATTTTATAAAGAAACACATTGCTTGAGTTTTAAGTTCGTGATGGAGATATAGTATATTTCCTTACAGTGCTGCTGCTTCCATAGCTGGTGAGTAACATGGAGCCCTTTGTGTGTTCACAGGAGTGGAAGTGTTAGTGGGCTGACCCTTAAACTGATACGAACATCTGTCTCGGAAATGCTAGAAACTCTCTCAGATGATGATTTTGTGAATGTGGCTTCCGTAAGTATGAGATGACTCCATTTTCCTGAATTGTATCTGCAAATCCTAGTATGCTGTGACTTTAGTTACCTATTAAGCTAAGTGAGGTATGCCTCTTGCTCTACCAGCTTCCTAACTGATCTATCCTTCCTTAGATACTGGTTCTCCTATACTTCATGCTCTTACCTCTTTTTGTTTCCTAAGCAATTACCTGTGAGAGATGCAGCTGATAAAATGAATTTGAGTGAATAGCATTCCTCCTAGTCTCCTTCACTCAGAGGATTGTAAAATGGTAACTTGAGCCCCTTTAGGAAGTAGCATACTGGACATAAAAATAGATGGCAGTTTTCTCTGCTGTGTGATACTTGTTTTTGCCTTGGACAAATGTCCAAAGTGCATGATTTTTATCAAGTTTATTTCTCTTACCAACACAACAACCAATAGATAATTGAAACAGATAATTTGGAACCATCAAGTCTTTTATACATATTTCAATGATTCTTTGAAACTACTGAAATCTGAAGCAAATGAGAAAACACAAATGGTTGTTACCATGTGACGTTTGAATTTATAGAATTTGGACAAAATATTTCATATTCCGGGGATGTGGGCAGGAAAACAGGAATTGGTGGTGAGGTCATTTTGAAATGAGTGAATCATATTGGATCTGGCTCTGAAACCACTTGGGGAAGAAAAAAGTCAAAGTAGTTAATCTGCAACACCCATGGAAAGATGTCATCCATGACAGAAGAGGCAGGAAACCTGGAACAATCCAATGTCAACTAAAGCTCTGGGTAACTAGATTCATGATATTTATTAAGAGGAAGAGAGTTTATCCCTAAGATGCTGTTAGTAGAATGTGCCTGGACATAATGTACCTATAGAAAATATTCCCTAGATAATGTTTTGCACACCATATAATTTCCTTCACAAGATTTAAATAACTTTACAAGCAGTCAAGTGGAACTCTTTGTGAGATTTCATAGAGGCCAGAGGAATGTGGCTGAAATGAAAATAAAAGAACTGGGGCGCTTTGCTTCTTCCTCGTTCTGAACCCTGCTTCCTGTGAACCGTAGACATTTTTTAATCTGTCTGTGATCTGCATATTATTTAGTAATACTTGATATTGTATAAAGTCTCTGGTTTGGGTCAGTCTGAATTTACAGGCTCATTTTATATTTTTTGTTTGCTGCTTACTTAGACACAAACAAGTGAAATGCAATGATGATCAGAGAAAATACTTATTTAGTTTGATTTGTGCATAATTATATTAACTTAAAGAACATTGGAGTCACTGTTAAAATATTTTGTTATAGCGAACAAGAAGAGCTCACACACTTTACATAAATACAAACTTGGCAGAATTATAAGGGTCTATTTAAAACCAGCAGATACTAAATATGGCTACTGTCTTTCTGTGGCTTCTTCAGAAATAAACCTCAGTTGTAGGTTCAGAAATAAGTAGTTAATTTTGGAGGTGATCACAAGAGATGTTTCTAATTAAGAGGATCGAGGCAGAGGAAAAGAGAAAGCCAAGTAATGAATCTTAATTTAATATAAGGGACTCAAGATGGATGAGATATACTGGAAGCAATATAGCACAATCATTTCAGAATTATCCTTACTCAAAACCAAAGACCTTGGGTTACTGGGCCATCCTTTTCTTGGTGTAGGCAGCACAGCCTTTCGCTACAAGAGGGCGTACTGAAACAAACCGTTGTAGATGCTAGCTGTGAGGAGTAGTGAGTGTCCATCCAATCAACTCTTTAAAAAATGGAGATTACACACTTTTTAACAAACAAGGAAACAACATTATATTCAGGATTATCGTCTTTTAAAGTCAAAATAATTTATTTTTTTCTTTTCTATCTTATACTATTTCTACATTCCCCTCTAACTCTTTTTTTTAAAATATTTTTTTGTAAAGCTACTGTACAGAGGTTACATAAGTAAGGTAATGAGTACATTTCCTGTTGAGCATTGATACTTCCTCCTTTGTTTTTTCTCCTGCCATCCCTTCCCTTCCCACTTCCCCAACTCCTCCCTCCCTCCTTGCCCTCAGGTTGTAAAGTTCATTTTCAACTTAGTATCTTGTACATCTCATTGTTGCAATGGGTCAACCTGTATCCTTATTCAAGCATTTTGTTTTTTCCCTTCCCCTCCCCAAATAAAAAAACATACACACACACACACACACACACACACACACACACACACACACACACACACACACAAGATGTAGGGCACCGGAATCAAATACAGTGAAAACAGGGGTTATATACCATGGGGGAAGAAAGTACAACAACAAAATCACATAGTACATTATAAATACATTAAAAAACAAGAAAGATAAAACCACTTGTGTCCCTATCTTGGGGTTCATTTCACTTAGCATCATCTTATATGGGCATATTTACACAGCTTTTGACCTTCTCTGCTTGCCCTAGACATATACTAGTTATTGCAAATAAGGAAAACCATGAGACCTAGAAAGAAATATAGGTCCCCTGCAACTCTTGATCAACTCTTACTGGTAGATTGCTTGGTGAAAATAAACCCATTCCACCCAGAGGCCTAGAATCCATTTGTGTGTGTGTGTGTGTGTGTGTGTGTGTGTGTGTGTGTGTCTATTTAAACAATAGCTCTACAATTCTTCCATACCTACCACCAAACATAGAAGTGCTTGCATAATTTATGTCCATATGGTTTATTTGGAAAGTAACTGTAAGAAATGCTGTTAGAGGAATGTTGGATATGAAATGAGGAAAATAATGAGGAAATGATTGGATGTGAAATGAGGAAAATAATCCCTGGGTGATTCTGAGTACCAGAGTAGAGTGCATGTATGGGAATGCACAATATCTCATAGTTTCAAGGAGAATATGAGCTGGGATATATAAAATTAATGAATGCTGCCAAAAGACATCAGTTCCTGGGTCTTCCCAGCACATAGTGTGAAAGAACAGAGGCTGCTCTCCAAGACTTCAGTCTTGGAGAGTTATGAGTTACACTGGAGTGAAAGCAAATAAGGACTGCTAGTATTTGCTGTAGTTAGAAACTCAGCAAGGCTATTCATAAATATGTTTTAAGAGAATTTTTAATTAAGTGGCCTTTGGACAAATTTTGCACTTTCATCCTTTGATGAGCAACTAATGGGTCCTTCCTAGGTACAGAACTTTTATGGTATGAACATGGGATTCTTACTGTTTGATTAATTTTAAAGGCTATTACTTCTCCTAAAAAATCCATTTTAATGTGTATTTCTTTAAAGAAAATTGTTCAATAACTTCTTAAAAGCATCATTAGTAGGGAGTATGACTACTAAAGAGTTTCATACAGTTTCTTTGAACCATCTTACTACAGACTTTACAGATACATGGACACCTCTTTGTAAATCTTAACTTGATTGTCCTCATCTGGTGTGGCTTGATTATATGACATCAAAGCAGATGAGAAAATAGAATGTGATGCTTGTAGAAAAAAATTGGGAATAAGCTACTAGCATGGCTAAAGGGGCAAAGAGCCTGAGTAGAAAGCATGAGGCCCAGTTATCACCGGAAAGTACTGTAGATGTATTTCATCAGGAAGTAATTCATCTGAACACCCCAAGTTAAAAATCATGAATATATCTTAGGTATATATTCAAAAAGAGGGAATAAAAGTGATTGAAATGTGCACAAGTCATTTTAAGATAAAATTTGTGAGATAAATATTTCAGGTTGACATTTGAAAGATGAAATCATAGTGATTTCTAACTCTACTTCTGTAGAAATTTATTACCTGTCTTTGCATCTCAGCTCCTACTTCTTCTCAGGCTTTCTTAGTCCTGGTTATTTTTATTTTTTGCTTTTTTTGTTGTTTATAATTCTTACCACAAGTAGAAGGATATTTTTTCAAGCATACTCTTAATTCCTTTCTTAACCCTGCCCTTTATTTTACTACGTAAGAATAATCAATATTACATGTTTTGGGTTGAAAGCTTTCTAAAGTATTTTAAGTGATCTCATTATTCTAGACATATACTTGCCCTTTAAAAGTTAGTACAAATGAGATCTGAACGACTAGTCATTGCTTTACTTTCATTATTATTGTTAAGATACTATAATTATCTTCAATTAAATGATAGATGATTGTAAATATGGAATATGTATGTAGACACATATCTTAAGATACACATACAAACATATACATACATATAATACATATATACTGTGTGTTTATACATACAAATATAAATACATATAAATATACAATAGGGATACTGTGTGTGTATGACTGATATTTTGGCAGAAAATATTTTTATTTCATCATATCTTAGTCTTTACAACAACCTTGTGTGGTAGATAATAGTACTAAAGTTAATTTTACGAATAAGGAATAGAGTTCTAGAAAGTTTCAAAGAAGAAAACAGTGTTAGAGAAAAGTTATCTTCACCTACTTATCTAACATTAAAGAAAATGTTACAAAGGCAATATAAAATAAATATGCTTATTTTACAGTTATAGTTGATACAATAAATTCTAAAATAATATAAAATATTATAAAATAATTAATAGATGAATAATTTAAAACTATAATTTTATTTTAGATTAAAAAGTGTGATTTCTGAGTTATGCAGGAATGTTTAAGGAACTCTGTTATTTTGGTTAACAAAAGCCAAAAGTATATTTGAAAAATTGAGCATCAGTTCTCACAACAGAGATCCTGGCTACTCAGGAGACTGAGATGTGGGGATCAAGATTCTGGCCAACTTGGGTAGAAAACTTCATGACCCATTTATCTTCAATTAACTGAAAAATCTGGAAGTAGAGTTGTGACTTAACAGTAGAATGCCAGCCTTGAACAAAAATGCAAAAAAGGACAGTGCCCTGACCTTGAGTTCATGTCCCAGTACCAGAACAAAAGAACAATCATAATTGAGTTGGATTATTGTTATTCTTGAGGATAATTATGCAAGCACTATAAAGTGCAGGTTTTGCCTAGGTAGGATGATATATATGTATCTCTCTATATATATTTGT